CTGCGGCTGCAGGCACCGGGTCTCGCTGCACCCCAGCCTCCCAGAGAGGTACGGGGGGTGTTTGTCCCCCTGGACTAACCCTATGGGTGTGGGGGACCTGGCTGCAAGGGGGTGCTGCTGTAGGTGCCAGGGGCCGGCTGGCTGTGGGGGCAGACTATAGATCCTGGGGTCTGATTGCCCATGAGGATGCTGCTATCCATCCCARGAGCCTGGCTGCCCATGGAGATGCTGCTGCAGGTCCTTGGAGGCTGGTTTCCCACAGAGATGCTGCTGTAGCTGCCAGGGGGCTGACTGACCACRGGGGCTGCCCATAGGGCAGGCTATAGACCCCAGGGACTGACAAGGATGCTGTGATCTCAGGGGCCTGGCTGCCTATGGGGATACAGCCAAAGGACCTGGGGATCTGCCTGCCCATGGGATTGCTGCTGCAGGTCCCAGGAGCAGGTCCCGTGGGCCTGACTCCCTATGGGGATGCTGCTATAGGGCCTGGGCAGACTGCCTGYCCATGGGGATACTGCTATAGATCTTGAGGACCTGGCTATGCACAGGGATGTTGCTGCAGGACCCAGGGGTCTGCCTGCCCATGGAGATGCTGCTAGAGGTCCTGGGGACCCGGCTGCCCATGGGGCTGGCAGGCTGCCTCCACGAGGTGCAAGCTTTGAAGCTCTGTGTGAAGAATTTGCGGCTGGCACCGGGCTCTGGTGTGGGTGCTGCGATCACAGCGCAGGCAGACATCAAAGGGAAGTGCTAACGAATTCCCTATTATCTCTGCCCATTGACAGCTCAATTAGAGCCAGAAAATGCCAAGCAGGAGAGAAGGGGCCCTCTCATGAAGGGGGCGGGAGGGGATGCTGGCAGCTGGCCGCGGGGCCGAGGGAGGTGTGTGGACCAGCACAGGGCCCACGTGAGGCAGCAGAGCAGCCAGCCCTTCCCTGGGCACCTGGGCAGCGCTGGGGGCAGCACGGGCCCTGCCAGCCCTCCTGCTGGCGCTGCCCGCACCGCACGGCTGGCTCCCCGCCGCCCAGCAGGCCCCGGAGAAACAGGAGGGGATTCAGCTGCCCCAGTGCCCGGGCCGGGGGGCCAGCACTTGTGCTGGGCTCTGTGAACAGCAGCAGGGCCCTCGGTGCTGCACCCCAGAGCGGAGCTGCAGGGTGCTGTGGGGTGCCCCAGAGCTGGGGTGCAGGCAGAGCGGAGCTGCAGGGTGCTGTGGGGTGCCCCAGAGCTGGGGTGCAGGCAGAGCGGAGCTGCCGGGGAGCCACAGGGCAGCAGGCAGCCCTTGCACCCTGCAGGGGAAGTGGCTTGCAGAGCAAGGGGCCAGACACAAAGCTGCAGACCCCAGGCCCCACTGCTGTGGGGGAAAGCCTKTTGCACCGTGTCCACAGCAGCTCCACTTCCCTCCAATGCTGCCAACCCAGAGAGTGGGACATGCTCTGCCTTAACAGTGCCAGAAAGCCAGTCATCCCAGCTCCCATCCCCAAGGATTACTCTCACATGTGCACACACACACATGTGTGCATGCACACGGACATGTGCACACACATGCACAYGCATGCATGCTCCCCTGCCATGCGCGCACACACACACACACACATCCCTGTGTGTCCCCAGACGCCCCCACGCCTGGGCCCTGCTTCCCGGCTCCTTCCCGCCCGGAGCGCGCACCGTCACCGCTCTCCTGCCAGCCTGGCCCTGCCAGTTGCCATGGCAATGTGTCGCCTGCTGAGGGATGGAGCTGCTCTCCCACACCGCATCCCACCGCACCGTGTTGCACCGCACCGCGACAACAGGACACACAGGGGACAGGGGCTCCCCAGGCTCTGTCTGTGTGTCCGCAGGGCGCTGCCGTCAGCTGTCCTCCCGGGAGCCGCCGTTTGGCCAGCTGCGAGGCACAGGAGCAAAGGCCACAGCTGGCCCCACCGGGCTGTGAGGCTCCTGTGGTCCCGTGGGGCTCAGGTCCTTGCCAGGCCGCAGCAGCGCAGCCCAGCCCCAGACAGAGCGGGTGCTGGGATGTGGCAGGGTGAGCAGGGAAGCAGGGGCCCCCCGGCACCCCAGGGTGCTGCGAGGCTGGGCCGCCCCCGGCAGCAGCGGCTCTGTGCAGGGGACAGGGATGGATGGTGGCAGCAATGGGGCCCCGGGCCCTGTGCTCCGGCTGCAGAGCCCCGTGGGGCTGGAGGCGGCACCGCTCCCAGGACGGCTGCACAGCTCGGGCCTTCCCCTGCCGGCTGCCGCCCTGCTCCCGGAGCCATGGGGCTGCCCCACACACAGACCTCTGCACCTCCCCTGCCATGCCCTGCGCCTGTGCCATGTGCCACTGCTGCCCCACCGCTGCCCCACTGCTTCCCCACGGCTGCTCAGCCCCACGTGGCCAGGGCGCTGGGCCCATCACCAGCCATGCCCACCCTGAGCAGCAGGGACCAGGGCAGCAGGGATGGGCTGCAAGGACCTGCACCGGGCACCCTGGTAGGGGTCACCCCATGGGAGCGGCACCCAAACCTCTGGGGGGTCTGGGGTCGGGGAGCAGAGGCCCCCGGGCAGCCGGCAGCTGCAGGTCCCGCCTGTCATCAGCTCCCTGCTCCGGCTCCGCTTCAAAGGCGGCRGGAGCCACGGCAGGGCCAGGCCCTGGCAGCTGCTCCATGCGGGGACCTTTAATGAGCAAGGACAAGGGTGACATTTGGGAGCGGGGCAGGAGAGGAGCTGGGCTGATGAGCTGATGACCTTTCCAGGGAGGCGCCAGGTGTGCKGGTCCCGGAGCAGGGAGCATCCTGCAGGTGCCTGTGCCGGTCGCCCACGGGCAGGGAACGCGGAGCCGGGCAGCTGGCAGTGCCGTSTGCCAACAGGAGCACGGCGGGATGAGGCCGACGCTTTGGCTGGGACGCTCGCTGGGAAGCGGGGCCGCGCAGGGATCGCGGCCGTGACGGAATTCACGCCGGGATGGGAGCCCAAGAGGCGCTGGCGCTCGCGGCGGAGTCCGGCGCTGCCGGAGGGCCAAGCTGGGGCCGGGACGTGCACGGTGCAGCCCCGGGTGGCACCGGGTCGGGGCGGCGGCGAACACGGCGCCTGTGTGCGCCCAGCTCCGCGCCGCGATTTACGAGCCGCRCACGGAGGCGCGGGGCGGGCRGCGCGCGGCTGGGCCCGGAGCGCTGCCAGCCGCATTCCTGGCGCCGCCGGGCGAGCGGAGCATGTGTGGGCTGGAGGGGCAGTGCGCGGCCGGGGCTGCGGGCAGCGCAGCCCCATGGGGYGCCCCCATGCCCGTGGGGAGCCCCAGTGCAGGGGGCCCTGCTCCGAGCGCAGGGCTCTGCATGGTGACCGGCTGCCCTCTCTGGGGAGGCCGCAACGGGGACAGCAGCTCCAGGAGCTCCGGCACCAGGGCCYTGGGCAGCTGGGAATGGGCAAAATGGGCAAGTGCAGCGGGGACGAGGAGAGGGGCTGCCGGTGCTCTTACCGTGCTGAGCACCCCCGGTGTCGCCGGTGCAGAGGGGACCGTCCCCATGGCCGCGGGGGCCAGCGCTCGGTCTCGGTGCGGCGGCCCGGGAGGCAGGCGCTGGCCCCGCAGCCCCGCGCGCCGGAGTGACAGGCACAAGTGCCAGCCTGCGCACGGGACACAGGGGCGGACGGAGCAGGAGGTGSCCGTTGCAGCGGCTCCTCGTCCTCGGGACACAGCCCAGCGCGGTGCCCTGCCTGCGCCTCGCTCCCCGGGCAGGCTGAGCAGGGGGGCAGAGGGGACAGCAGGGCCCAGCAGCAGCCCTGGCTCTCGCAGCCCCCCATCTGTCACAGCGCAGTGCCCCGTCTGTCACGAGGCCTTCATTAGAGCCACTGAGTCACCTCCTGGCAGCGTGGGGCCCTGGCCCCGGGCTGGCCCCCGCGGTGCCCCCTTGTCACACCAGGTGTGGGGCAGGCCGGGGGGGTAAAGCAGCACCCACGTCACTGCACCCTGCCTGCAGCCCCCCCATTCCCAGCTGTGGGGGACACTGGGCAGGCACGGGGCGCTGTGGACACTGCAGCTCCATCCCACCGCTCCGGCTCCTTTCCCCCGCCGCTCCATCCCACTCCCGCAGCAGCTCCCTGTGCTCCCAGCCGCCCTGCCCGGCCCATCCATCACGGATTAGCCATTTCCCATCAGCGCTTATCTGCGGCCATCCCACTGCTCCCACGACAGCCCCAGCCTCCAGCACCTCCCTCCTGCTCCCGGGCAGCCCGATAAGGAGCCGCTCTATCTTATCCTGCTCCCCGGCCGTTAAACATTGATGGGGCCAGCCCAGGGCGGGGGGCACTCCGGAGCAGCAGCCCACCCTGCGGGCAGCGTGGGGCTCGGGGTACTGCCCACATCCCTGGCATTGCAGGGGCGACAGGCGGCACCGCGGCTCCCCGTCACTGCCCCAGAGCACATGGGGGGCAGTGGGGCTGGGGGACAGTCCCTGCCCCAGCCTGGGGCAAAGGGTGGCTGCTATCGMCGGCCCCCGCGGGGCTGTTTGCTCTGTGGCCCATTAACAGAGCTGCCTTATCCGGCGGCCTGGAGCCCGCTGGCCGGGCCGGGCATCGATCGCCGCCAGGGCAGGGGGCGCCCCAGATAACCCCGGCAGACAGATGGGTTTCCGATGGGGTCCCTGCCCCGCTGCCCCCGGCCCATCTCCCAGGGGACGAGGGAACGYGGCCCCGGCGGGCGCCGCAGCTGCCCGTGCAGCCCCAGGCTCTTGCAGYGCCCCGCGCGGCCCRTGYGGCCCCTCTGCGTGGGGAGGAGGGCTCCGTGCAAAGCCCGGCTTAGGGGCAGAGGCACGAGCGGAGGCGGGGGAGCAGAGCGCTGCCCAGCACACGKGTCCTGTGCTGTCAGTGCCACACGGGAAGCTCGTGGGAACCTCCTGCCCAGCATCTCCGTACCTGGGAGGTGCCTGGCAGAGCCGTGCACGAGCAATGGGCACCCATGTCCACAGAACGTGGTGACATCGACACCCTGCGCAGCACCCATGTGCCAGCCCCTCGCCTGGGCTCAGAGCCCAGCTGGAGGTTTCCATGGGGCCCTAGGGGCTGCGAGCACAGAGRGGCTCTGGCCGCACGTTGGCACCAGGCAAGATGCAGGTAGGCAGCTWTGTCTGCTGTGAGAGGAGGGTCGAAGCATTGCCCAGCATGAGCCAGCCTCCGGGAGCACGACCAGAGCTGGGGGCACAAGTGGCAGAAGCCACATGCAGCGGTCAGATGGCAATGAGCACCATACAGCACCCTGCACCCAGCACTGTGCAGTGCTGTGCACCCAGCACCGTGCAGCACCATGCAGCACCCTGCATCCAGCACCGTGCAATGCTGTGTACCCAGCACTGTAGAGCACCCTGCACC